GCTGAAGTGCGTAGTTGTGCAATATGGAAGCACGGGAAGAGGAAAGCTATGGTTCCCAATTATTGCGTCAATAGAGATGCACGGGCCATAGAATGATCTAGAAGTGACACAATCCAGAAAAATTATTACGATTTTTAAAACAGAGAGAGATAATTAATGTTTTACTGTTAGTTAAAATTATAATTTTGATTTACATATTTTTTATCTTACATATATATATATATTTCCTTTAGGCTTTATAGTAGTGGCCATAACGTTTTACTCATCTATTTACAGCAAGCTTAAGAAGGTAATTTTATAACCAACTTCAGTTGTAAAATAAATAGTATTCAGATTTTTCCATAAGACATATCATTTCAGCTATATTTCAGAATAAAGATGCAGAACTGTACACACTGGAAACTAAATTCTACATTTAATCATATGTAGGTGCCTAGTATAAAGTGTTAGAGTTTAGATCACTTCAATTTCAGTTAGTCTCAAGGAACTTCAATGCTTTTATACCATAGAATAAAAAAATAATCATTGTTTCTGTTATTTTCATTAAGTTCAGGATGCCTTAGGATTACAGAATTTATGATAAAACATACATGTATGTATTAATTACATCAGATTTGCTTTCAATGCAAGAAATTTAATACATTTTAATTCATGCAGATATTGTATTTTTTGGGTAAATTCTTTAATTAAACTCCACCTGATTAAAAAGTTAAGAGAAGTTCTGATAATCATGCAGCATGCAATCTGCCACTTTTAGTCAGTTATTTATTCCATAGATGGTGCCACTAAATCACTATTTTTACATTAAAACATATAATAAAATGGCAGGAAAGTGAAATGATTAAAATAACAACCAAATTTAGTCCAACAATCTAAAAAAAAGTTATTTTCACATAACTGGGAAAAACTGTCACCTGCATATCATTAAAAATCTTGCAACAATTCCTAATCATCAAATTATTAGTGCTGGTTGAAAAATTTTTAAAGGGAATTAGAGTAGAAATAATACTTGAATTTTTATATGGTTTATATGATAGAATCTTGACATACAAAAAATATATATATATATATATATAATCGAAAATAAGATCGAAAGGAAAAATTTCAACTTTTAATCATATTCCTAGTTCAATGAACAAACAAAGTAAGAAAATTTAAACATAAAAGGTTGCTAGAAAACTTTTGTGCTATGCAACTACTTACGGGGTAAATGTCAGTGGACAGTACCAGCATTTTCAGAGATTAGTATCAAATTGTTTTAATCTAGTATTTCATGGCTACAATGCACCTCAGTGTATCACAGTTTTAGATATTACACGAATACTCTTCAAACTACATGCAATAATATGCATGTTTAACTAAAAAAACAAGTGTAAATTATTATCAAAGAAATTTAACATTCTAAAAAAAATTAGAAAGGATGATGAGAAAGAGATAACCAGGGGGAGGAGTGAGGGCTGAAATAATATTTTCAAACTAGCAGGCCTTATAAGCAGTGAATAGTGTTATAGCAGTGTTCAGTATGTGGACTGACCTGAACTATACACTTACCTGCAATCAAATATTTAAGCAGTTGAAAAACAGATGATAGCCAAAAATCTAACAAGTGAAATCATTAATTTAGAAGTCAAACAACAGAAATCAGCGTTATATTTTCAAATTTTCACAGGACTAGTTAGATTTCACAGGACTAGTAGGACAAAAAAATCAATTTTTTTTTTCATTTGTGCTATCGCAGTTGAGGCTGATGGTTCGGTAAAACCATCGAAACTAATTTAGGACACATAGGACTAGTTACATTTCACACCACTAGTAGGACAAAAAAAATCCTTTTTTTTTTTTTTTTTTTTTTTTTTTTCATTTGCGCTATCCCAGCTGAGGCTGATGGTTCGGTAAAACCATCGAAACTAATCCTGTGAAAATTTGAAAATATAATGCTGATTTTTGTTGTTTGACTTCTAAATTAATATTTGTTCGGTGTGTTATTGCATCTTAATTAAGTGAAATCATCTCAAAAATCAATACAAACTATAAGCAAATGAAATAGGAATTGGTTGGAAACAAAAGAAGGAAAAAAATGGGAGCAATAATGTGGAATGATCTATTATATGAGAAATCTGTAAATAATGTAGTCTGTATCAAATATAGAAGCAGTAACATATTTAACTTTCTTGCAATTACCTATAGCATTTTGCACTTTTTGTTTGTTGTTTATATAATTTACTAAAACTGAAATGCTTAAAAATAATATTTTAAGTTTAATGTCAAATATATAAGAAAATAACTTCTTCATTCTGTAAATATGACATTTTTTATTGCAAAAATTTTGAGTGAGAGGAAAAAAAATTAATGGTATTTAAAGCCGATTTATAATTTTTGCATACATATTCATTCTTATACAATGGGAGTATTACATAAGCAAATTTCAACTTTTAATCATAGGGAAAGCGTAGGGAAATGAATTACTATTCCTATCTGATAATTATACATTGTACAGAATGCTATAACAAAGCCACTGTAAGAGAAGTACTAATATATATCTTTTTTGCTCTATTTGCTATAATTACTATACTATTGACCCTCCAAACCCTAGATAGAATTAGGAATTACCCAATATATAAAATGCTCAAACACGATTTTTAAAAGAATCGAGATATCAGTTGAGAATTTTAAATCATCTTTTGTTTGTTTGTGAAGCTAGTTAAATACTCACTAGATTATAGATATCTATCCCAATACAACAGTTGCACTTTTTTTTTATAATACTTATAAATATATTATGTAATATAAATTTTAAAATATGCTTGAATAACACAGAAATGAATAAAGACTGGGCTTAAAAAGTCCTAAAAGATTTAAGTATATAATACAAAAATATTTTCTTGTTTACAATTTATGACAAAAAAAAAAAAAAAAAAAAAAAAAAAAAAAAACCCTCATAAACTTAAAATTCTTTTTATATTTTCATTCAGTAGGCTTTATTATAAATTCAGCATATCTACCAAAAAAAAAAAAAAAAAAAAAAAAAAAAAAAAATTTCTGAGAACAGAGGACACAACAAAACTAAGTGTAAGAAAAGTAACATTGATAGATTGATAGATGAGCTTTTCATTTTAGCTAAAGTGCTTTCAATTCAAGTGCATCTGAAGAAACAGACACTGCTGAACTGCTGAAAATGTTTCTGTTCAAATAAAATCTATGTTAATCAACATCTTTTTCTTACCTATCAGAAATTAGCTTCAAATTAAAACTCACATCAGTCATTAAAAATATCAAATCTCTTTTTATTTATTCACTATTTTTTTCTCTTTAGAGAGATGAATATTTGCCCCAATGAGGAAATTACAGTACTTGTGAAAAATTCATTTCTTTATTACAAATTATAACTTTGGGAACAATGCAAATGGAGAATGGCATCATTACAGATTTTATTAACTACATCAGGGTTTCTTAAACTTTTCCCAGTCGTGACCCCCTTTTATCACTGAGATTTTTTCGCAACCCCCAGAACCCCATAATGTTTACAAAAATTTTGTGGGTCCCCATAAGTATTGCACAAATTCAACACATGCATGAGTAAAACTGTCAATTTTTTTCACTTGTACTACAATATACTATTGCAGTTTTAGGTCATTAACTTTAATTTCTAAATTTAAGACATAGAACAATGTGAAAATTTTAAATAAGTAACAGACGAAATGACAGCATCATGTGCAAAGCAAGGAAAATGAACGTTTATATTATAAAAAGAATGCGTCGAAACGTTGTTTTTTTTCTTTGACTGTATTGTCTTATCTTTATCTATTTTCAGATACCTTGTGTAAAAATATTTGGTAATTGTAAAATTGTTATAATACGTAAAAGAAATATCAAACTGCTAAAATTTTTGGCGATCCCCTGCTGCAGGTCCCGCGACCCCCCTGTTGAGTTGTGACCCACAGTTTAAGAAACCCTGAACTACATTATAGGAATCACCATCAGCTAAACTATCAAACTGCTTAAAGATTATTGCATTGTGTTACATAGCACCATAAGGAATGATACACTACATTCTTACAAAAAAGCATTATATAGCTTTTGAAAAGTGTTTTAACAAGAAATTTTCAAGTTAGAGGAGCTGAACATATTTTGTATTCAATTAATGACACAATACCCTTTCTTTCAATGCGAAAATCAAAAATCGAATATTTTATTTGCAGGTTTCTCTTGCTCTCTCTCTCTTTTTTAAAGGCAATAAAAACGCTGTGTTTCTAAATTAAGATTCATAATTTTTTAGTAAAAGCACAGATAATTTTTCGGAATCTGAGCTTTACTTGGAATGCTAATTTATGTTTCCTAGTTTGCACACGTTACAAAAGTTTTCACCTCACAGTGCGTTTGGAAAATATTACCATTAATATTTATATAATATTCCAACATAGGGAAGGAAAAATAAGAGATTCAAAATTTTGACACTACACGTAAACATGTGACACTTACTCACAAACACCCATTGGCTAGCCAACATGAAAGTTCAAAACAAAAAGTTTGTAAACAAATCCTATGACGTAAACCGGAAAAGTTGCTGTCTCCAACACTTAAAGCAAAATTACACTTTAACTTACTCGATTATTAGGCAATTCGGGAAATCCAAAACGAAAATAAATAAATATATTAATTATGATTAATAATGATACCGATCCTAAAGGGAAACTTTTATAGCACGGAAAATAATAATTATAATGAAAAAAAGTTCGGCCAGAATTGAGCCCGAACGTTTTTTCCATTATTATTATTTTACAGAGCATTATTTAAATCTAAGAAAAACATTTAGCTCGCAGTACAGCAAAATATATGCATAGTTTTTAACTGGGAATTTTGGAACGGTCTTTTAATATTTGGAATTATGCTAGGTTTAGAGCCTTATAAACGAACAATACTTTTAGCGGTATTTGTTCCTCTAAACTTATCACTAACATTGTTGTTTACATACAATTTAAATCATGATTGCGAAGCCGATATTGCTCATTTTCTCATGATAAATAGCAATTTATGTTTTTAATAAATTTTAGAAAATTTCTGTTTATAATTTTATTAAATTATGTTAAATACATCAAATAATTTCTAGTGATGATAATTTTGATTAAACGTGGGAGTGTTAGAAGTACTTTTATTATCTAGACGAGTATTTTTTAAATTATTTAATTTTAAAATAATTATGTCTCGAACTGTATTGTGTAAGCTTATACAGAGAAAAACGTATGACTTCCTTTCGAAAAGGCATACAGCTGTTTTATTGTTTTTTGGTTTCATCATACTTTTAGTAGCTACACTTCATTTTGGTGAAGTAAGTTTTTAAAATTTTTAAAAATTAATTTCTTCAGGAATAGTTTCTGCAAATTTTATTTTTTATCTCATTAGATTCAATGTTTTTAGGAAAATGATTGGCAGTAGAGTTATATAGCAATCATTTATCTGTATACATTTGATTAAATTAAATAATACAAGTAATTAAGTTATTTATTTTTTCCACTAGAGCCTAATTAACATAGATAAATTAAAAATTTTGAATGAAACTGTTCATATACAGTGTCTAAAAACGTCAGACATACTAAATAGGCGTTTTGTTGAGTTGAATTAAACATATTTAAGTAAGTCTGTTGAATGATTACAGTATTTCCAAAAGCCATAAGCACTGATTTTGCTTATTATGCCTTTACTTTTATAAGATTAGAATTTTTCATTTTGTTGATAAAAAAATTATTTGATTTTATTTTACTTTGTGTAGACTCGGTGCAAGATTTTTTTTTTTTCTAAATTATCTGTAATATATGAATACTATTTCATATATTCCAAATAGTTTATAAAGACATTAAATTTATCAATGTATTCTCAAAAAAATGAAATTTAAATTTATTGTAGCCTATTCTATAATTTTTAATCAGAGTGGCGAATGAAAACTTTATACAAAATTTCAAATTTAAATATCTTAATAATTATTCTCTAGTTTATAATTAAATTCAATCATTTTTAATTGGTAGGAGTTTTAAGATAATTTTGTCAATGGACTGGTTGTTGTACTATATTTAAATCTGGTATATTTCTTAGAGGTCTAAATTTTAGTTGGACTTGTGTGATATAAATTTTCTTCAATTATAGCACATACAGCAATGCTTCGACTTGCAAATTTTTTTTTTTTTTAAATTTTTTTTTATGTTACTTTGCTTTAAAAGAGGGAAAAAAATTAAGTTTCGTAAATTAAAGAAATAGGAAGAAACTTTGCTACTTTTTGAATGTCTTGTTTTCTGCACCCCTACCAAAGTTGCAAACTCTTTGGCAACTTTGGAGAGCATTTGCAGATTCTGTGCTGACTTTGGAGGAAAATATTTGTTTGGGTATCTTTATTTTTATTTCAGCAGTAATATTTTCTATTTGTTTACATTCTTCTTTTTCCTTAGAAAACATACACATTTCTTGGAAGTAGTTATACCAATCAATAGTCTTTTTCAATAAAACCCTCTGTAATTTTTTTATACTGCTGTGCTTCCGCATGTATTTTGTTTGTTTTTTGTGTTATCCCCATGTAATTGCTCTCCTATGAATTTTAATGAAAACAGCAATTCAGTAAAAATATATTTACGGGTGCCTCTTGACGAACGTTAGCAACTTTTGGCGGCACATGGATACATCATCGCTACACAAAGCCAAAATAACAAGTCAGAGAATTGCACAAACTCGGTATCCATACTGACTAACCAAATAAAATCTGTAATCATACCAAATAAAATCTGTAATCCCTTGGCTTTATTCATACCAAATAAAATCTGTAATCCCTTGGCTTTATTCATACCAAATAAAATCTGTAATCCCTGGCTTTATCCATTTACACATCGACTTATTTTCACTTGGAAAAACATCAGATAATTGTGCAAACTTGGCATTGCACACTCCCTTGGCTTTGTCCATGTACACATCGATCTGTTTTCACTTAAAAAGTCAAAAGAGCATCCAATTCTACAGTAGAGCCAAATAAAAAATGCATAATCTCAATAAAGTACATTTTAAATCAAACAATAAAATAACATAAAAAAGGAAATTCATCTTGTGCATCTAAGCACTACACAAAGCAAATATCTACTTAACCTTATTTAGAAATTTCTATGTCTTCAGTATGTGGCACACAAAATTACTTAACAGCATTCAAAAACGGTACAACTCTAATATACGCCCTAATTTTACCAAATGTGGCGATATGTGTTCTGTGCTGGCCCTGTTGACGTTGAAAAATCTTTCGCTGGAGCTCGTTGATTCGCCTCTGTGTCTGAGAAGATGGGAGGGAAAGATAAAATGGTAGTTGTTGAATTGAAGTTCGGCAAAAGGAAATATCATTGTGGCTATCCTGTTGAGGGGTAGCGGGTATTTGGAAGTGTGGAAAGAGGGTCTGGGAGATTATTTTTAATGGCACTGCATGATAGAAGGAGGGATTTGTGATTTTATTTCTTTGTGAACCATAGTATAAATTTTCTGGATAGTGTGTCTGGCTGTCATGTAAATACGATAGTGATTACGTGGCGGCATGTTAAAGGCGGTATGAAATTTATATTTCTGCTATTCGAAAATGAATTAATTCATGGTAAGTGCATTTTATTTTATCCTTGTTCTTATTTTGTAGAATGTTATGTTCATTGGTTCTTTAGTATGAATTTCTGTCATTATTGTTGTTTTTTTAAATTGTTTGAAAATTATTTTAGTTCATTTTGTTGTTTAGTGTCTAGACTGTGCAATTCGTAGGTGTTTTTTATAGTTGAAACAGAATGCTGTGTACATGGTATTATTTGAAATTTATTGTTGTTATGTTATTTTATTAAAGCGAGGAGTGCGTATATCGTAGATTCCTTCCTTGCCTAAATTGTGTAATTCGTAGAATTTTTTTAAAGTTTAACAGGATGCTGTGTACATGGTATTCTTTGAAATTTATTGTTGTTATGTTAATTTATTAAAGCGAGGTGTGCGTAGTTTGTAGATTCGTTCGTTGCCTACATTGTGCCACTCGTAGATGTTTTTTGAAGTTAAAACATGTCGCTGTGTACATGGATTCTTGTCAAATATTTTTGGTTAGAAACTTTACGTTTTTGCTATCTAAATTTTTTGTTTTTGGATTTTTAGCTAAATTGTATGTTGAAAACGTAGTTTTTGCATGTGCGAAAACCGCGTTTTTGGAGACATTTTAGGCTAAAAGTTCGAAATGTAGACAAAAAATTTAGATAGTAATATGGCAGCGTGAAGTTTCTCGCCGAAAATATTTGGCGCGAAATTTGGCGACTTGAGGGCGCATATCAGAGTAGTTCCCCAAAAACTTCCTAAAATTATCTGAACTAGAATCTGTAAATCGGCGTCGGCATATAAATTCACAAAAATAAGAGTAAAAAATATCCTCCGTAGTGTTGGTATCCTCCCACATTCAGCCATATACATTTCCTTCCTACAAACAGGACATTTATAATAGCTATTAAGTAAACCTTCATTTACATACCAGTCAATTAATTCTCTTTTTTCCTTTTCCAAATCACACAGAAACTCAAATTAATTTTACCACATTCAGACATTCTATCATGTAAACCACAAAACAAGCAATGTATTTTCTAACCACAAGCCATTACAAATCTTTCCCATCATTCAAAATTCACCGCAACCACACACCCAATTACATCATAATAGGGTTTCTATAACATTCAACTATTCAGGTTACCATAAACGAAACAACAGCCTGGTGATAAATGAAGCAACATCTTGGCAATATACGAAACAAGAACTTTGCGATAATACAAGGGGCACCCTTCAATCTACTCTAACACAGCAATCTGTTTTTGCTAAAGGAAATTCAAATAATTGTACAATCTGGGCATCATAAAAAATTGCATAAAAGTATTCATGAGGCAATGTGGTAAGTTTCCAAAACAGTTATGTGGCCCATGATGCTGCTAAAAGTATTTATGTGCCAACCTACAAATGCAGATAGCACACATCTGCTTCCCTTTTAAAATTTAGCCATTATTTTTCTGATTAATGTTTCTTTTTCATTGAGTATGTTTGTTTTTCTCAAATAGATCATAATGGAAATGTGAAGTTTGCTGGCTTATAAAAAAAAAGCATTGCATTTCTTCAGTAATATATTGTTTTGCCCAACAATGAAGACTGTAAAGATTTGCATTCTATAAAATTATATTTCTTAAACAATCAGATTCTCTGGATATGCGATGTGAATACTGCAGGCAGAATGTTAGAATGCAGGGCAGAAACTGGTTATCTCATTTAAAACAGCTACTCACTTTATTTATTGTTAACCAGTGTGCAGTGATAAAATTGTATGCAACGTCATTTGTGCAACTCCCTCATTTTTCGTTTAGTAAAAACAGACTGCTGTGGGTACTTACGTACTATGACGACTACCTTGGCAACATTTGCCGATAAAAATCTTCATTACCGTTTTTTAATTTATGTTTATAAATTTTTTAAACCTAAAAGCCCTAATTATAAAGAAACAAAAACTTAAAACCAAAAATCCCGAATATATATACACATATTATAAATAAACATATATATGTATAAACTATATACTAAATACGAATGTAAGAAATTAAAATTAACTTGCTTAAAACTGGTTAAAAGAAAAACATTGAAGTTAATGGTGAGGAAAGTGGCAGGAAACAGCTTTTAAAATAGCATCAAAAGGCGTTTCTTGTTTTTTCCACCAAATAAATTCAGCTAAATAGGTATCCAATGATGGCGGCTTGTCCCACGTTGTCACTCATTCCTCCATTCCACATGCTTTCAAGGTGTTGAGTATGAGTCTGCGTAGATGGGTCAACAAAATTATATTGATGATTCACCTTAAAATGTTCAAAACTGGCAGCAATGAGCTCCTCTGTTTGATATCCATGCCACGAATCTGACAATATTGTTGAGCCTTCAGCAATATTATTTTGAATTTCATGCATTAATGTTGTTGCCTTCCGGTCTGGAACTCTTGACTAAAAATGTTTCTTTTGTCTCCCGGCAAATTCCACCAAAGACCCACTGTTGTGGCAAGATATGACCTTGATTATTCTTTCAACTCGTAGAAAGGCTTTCGAGAATCGTTCTGTGCCTTCCAGTTTTAATATTTCCTCCAAATCCTTCACATACACTTCACACATATAATTATTCCAATCAATAACAGTCTTATCAGATAAATCCAATTGATTTATCCGATAAGGCTGTTCACCATTTAATGACACCATTAAATAAAGGGCACCATTTAATGGATGACTATTCATATGCCCAAAAGTAAATAAACCTTAAAGCTATTAAAAATTCAATACGACTGTTTTCAAACCACATACCAGTTCAGACACCAAACTTTTGTTGACAATTTTTGACATTGCATCTCCAATCAAATCTTGCATTATAAAACTTCATAACATGGCTGTTTTTAAAAACGTGTTCTTTGGGTAAAATTCCATCCTCTCTGAAAAATTCTATTGCTTTTTCTTCATTTGATGGAAGTTGAAAAATGTCGATATCCATTGTGAAAAAAATAATCACTAAAAGTTTCACATGTTTAACCTAAACGTAATAATCTGCGATGTAAATGCAATAAATGTAGCAAAAAAAGGTGTGGTAATAGCAAGTGCGGGACTAGTTTGTGATAATACTCTTTATTTTAGCACCCTCTATAACCGATGTTAGAGTTAACCTTTCATGCTGCCAGTTTTACCTACAAATATCGCCAGTTTTGGCGAGATATCTAGGTAGTCGTCATAGTATGTAAGTAGTCTGCTGCAAGCATAGGCAATGGGAAAAAAAATGTACAAATATTCCTTGGAAAAGTAACCAAGTTTATTAATATCAGTATTTTGTCTTTCTTAGTGCACTGCCATGAAATGGCCTTTGCTTTTGGCACAGTAGTGTGGCAAATTTGTAAAAAATTATGATTAAAGCTTACAATAGGGTACTTCTTGCTTTTTTTTCGATTCTCTTTTGACAACAAGATCGGCACCAGAAAAGCACAATTTCGAGATGGCCTAACTAAAATAAGAAGTCTAAAAATTGCACAAACTCAGTGTTCATGTACACATTGATCTATTTTCACTTAAAAAAAACATCAGAGAATTGTACAAACTTGGCATTGTCTTGACTTTGTCTATGTACAGATCAATCTATTTTCGCTTAAAAAAATTCAGGAAGCTAAAACCAAGTTAAAACTATCATGGTAACCAGAAATGGGGTTTCATCAACAAAATTCGTTGCCAATCGAAGGGGCACCCAATTCTACACTAGAGCCAAAATTAGTTGGCAGTGAGCTCACAAAAGCTTTCCAAAGACGGCAGTGAGTTTGTGACTTTTTAGTGGAGGTGTGGATAGTTCGAGTTTTAATTAATTTTTACTGCTGCATTATCCGTGATACTGTAATAGAGTACTGAAACATTTTTTTTTTATTGCCATCTCATTTTTTTAAATCAGGTTAAAATATGGCTGCTCAATCTTTCAGAGCTTCACTCAACAAGGATTTTTTGATGGCTGCATGTAGAATTTAGTATTAATTAGCAACCACTATATGACCTATAATATTACCGTGTTTGATATTAAAATTTAATTTTTTATCCAAAAGATATTTATTAGGAGAAATACGAATATTTTAATATGAACTTTTTTTCCCCTTTAAAATGCTGATGCATACCTATCTAGTTTTATTCAGAATTATCATTTTCCCACTTCATGCTCTTTTAGCTGGCAGAAGGAAGATTTGGAGTTCGAAACTTAGTAAGGACATAGCTGATTTCCCACATTTCTTGCTATAAAGCAGTATGCAACTAAAATGTGGTGGTTGATAATTCATCATCATCCTGATTTGGCCAGTTGAGTCTTATTCTTTTCTTATTGTGCTTTAAGTGGAGAAAATATAAGAAATTATCACCTTCCATACTGTGTGCTGCCATGCTGTAACTCGTAGCACATCCAGCTGACAGTTAGAAGATCCAGAGTCTGAATAGCAGAACAGCTGATTTCTCTCATCTCTAGCTTTGAAAAATGAATAGCATAATATTTACAGAGTATATTCAAGATGTTCACATTAAACTTTTGCTCTTATTTTGTTTATATATAAAAATATAGTAATTATAGTTTTGGGAAGTCTGTATGTAATTTGTAAAGTTTAAGAAAATATGTCATTTATTCATATGCTTACTAGTATTTTAATGATAATATTGTTATCATACATATAGCTAATGATGTGTATCATTAAAAAAATCAAAATGAAATTATTTATTGTGCTTCAAATAACAGTAATTATTTTTCTTCTCTTTAAATAGACTATGATGGAATGGAGCAAAGAAAAGTATGCTGTAGTTTTTAGTCCATATAATAATAATATAGTCGGTAAAAATTTTCGAAGCATGTAAGTAAAGATATGGTATTACCTTCTAATTTAAATCATCCTTTCTTTTTTAATTTTTCTTCTGTTTCACTTAAATCTGTTCGCTTTTAATTAGTTTGGTAGAATAATAAAAAATTAAATTGATTAGTAGTTTATGTGGTTGCCACCTTTTGCTGAGTGTTGCCCAGAGATATTTAAACTAATAATAATAATAATAAAGAAAAAATAATATATTTCTTAGAACCTGTTATTGTTTAGCTAAAATCATTAATGATTATCTTAAATTATTAGTGTATTAATAATTTATGATTGTAATGATTAATTTATATAAGTATTATTTATACAGTCAAAAGTCGTTAATTTTGACACCCATAATCCGGAATGATCTATAATCCGGGCCTCAAAGCTACAAACTTTCTGCGCATGCGTCACGTTCACGCATGCGCACAGGCATTTACGAGGTGCACGTAAGACCTTTACGGCTGGGAATATGCTTGTGCGCATGCGCGTTTAATGTGTAACGGACGGTACAAGCTAAGCTAAAATTATCTAATTCAGTTAATGTTGCAGATTGCGTTGTTCGTTAATCTTCGAATTTGTTGTTTTGCAGACTGTTAGAGCAATTTTATAAAAGTAAGCTTGAACTTTCGATTATGTCAAATAGAATTTCCGATATATATTTACTAATATGTAAAGGATCTACAAAGCGAAAGTATGTTTCGAAATCCGAAATCTGTTTATCAATTTCACGCCGCGGCGCACAATGAATTGGAAGTTGATCTGTCAGCACTATCTTTATCTTCAGGGCAGATGCTTTTATTTTATTTGGCTTATAATTTCTTACTAAATGTAGTATTTCATCTCGATGTACTCCATCTTTTATATGATTTAAATCAAGTTCCTCATCATTATAATTCGCTTCCGATAGTGAAAAACGTGACCCAGAGGTTATTGAAAACGAAAAAATTTCGATTGACAAATTATTCGGTATTCTCAACACAGCAATTATAGGACTTGAACAGCGAAACTGTGTAACTAAACAAGGAATTATGTCTGTTTAATAGAAATAAAGAGAAAGTATTATCACATGAAACGAAACAACTTGCATTGAAAGAAATGTTTAATAAAGTAAACAAATAAATACGGTTGATCTTTACATTATGGTAACTTAACGTTTTTTTGGCGAAAATTTGGCGACAAGCTCTCCTACAGCAACCCTCTATTTTTTTTTCCCCGCCGCCATTTTGTCTTCACGAAGTAAAGACATGTTTCTTTTCTTTTTATCTACTGAACACTTCTTCCAACAATCTACTAGCTTAATTACACTTATGCTAGAAATTTTATCTAACAAAACTGCTTAATCATGACAAATATTCACTGCAAAATTGGGAAAAAGTGCACAATACCATACTTCTTACGCGTTTTTCAAAATAACACATACACATAAACCATGTACACGCCGACTTATTTTTACTTAAAAAAACATTCCAGAATTGCACAAAAATGGCATTGCGCACACTCTTCACTATATCCATGTACACTGCTTTTTTCTCATAAATTAGAAAAATTTCACGAAAATACATGACAATTTTCTCAATCTTTAAACCCGGTAAAAAGAACATATTTAAAATTACCTGATCGCGAAAAAGTATTTACCCTTTCCAAATATGAACATTTCCACATATAAAATAAATAAAATATCCAAAAACTTTTACCTCTAAATCATCTATTACATTAGACACGTCACCAACGAATTCATACCGCAAGCATTACAAATACTTAGTATCAAATATTTAAATTATTTCCATGCACGTTTACTTCAACTTAAAGGTATATACCAAATTCCTACAAACATAAAATTCACAAAATAATTATCATTTAATTAAAAATAATTAAATTCAAAAAACACTACTTAAAATATAAATGAGCACATATATTAAATTAATACATACATAAATACCCATTTCGAATTCACTTTAGTTACGGCCATGGGATCCAAAAATTCACGAACACTGTTTCACACAACACAGAATAAAGCCAAATACAAAATTTCCAGATTTTTTCCCGATTTTCCCCCTTTTCCGATTAAAGAACCGTAATTCTTCCATTAATATCACATGACATATCCCATGATCTCTCATTTCCCTCACACAAAATATTGCGTAATCGGAACTGAGTACTGCTCACATTATTACCAAAGTCCCAGGTAGTAACTTTTATCGCCTCCAAAATGTCGCCAAACTACCAGTTACCATATTGTAAAGATCAACCATAAATACAGTCAAAAATCGTTAATCCGGACTCGTCGGGACTTCGGCGATTCCGGATTATAGATTATCAGTTTAAATCTGGTAAGATGGCATGCAGAAATTACAAAATTAAAAATATGAAACCGTAATTTATGAAATAAAGAACAATTATGATCTAAAGGGTATCAAAATTTACAAAAAGAAAAAGCTTAATATTTATTTGTTTACTTTATTAAACATTTCTTTCAATGTAAGTTGCTTCGTTTCATCTGATAATACTTTCTCTTTAATTCTATTAAACAGACATAATTTCTTGTTTAGTTACAAAGTTCCGCTGTTCAAGTCCTATAATTGCTGTGTTGAGAATACTGACTAATTTGTCAATCGAAATGTTTTCGTTTTCAATAACCTCTGGGTCACTTTCTTCACTATCGGAAGCGAATTATAATGACGAGGAACTTGATTTAAATCATATCAAAGACGGAGTACATCGAAATGAAATACTACACTTAGTACGGAATTATAAACCAAATAAAATAAAAACATCTGCCCTGAAGATAAGGATAGTGCTGACAGATCAACTTCCAATCCGCGGCGTGAAATTGATAAACAGATTTCGGATTTCAAAACATACTTTCGCTTTGTAGATACAAATTACATATTAGTAAATATATATCGGAAATTCTATTTGACATAATCTTTAATCTATCATAATCTAATAATGACGTTTCTGCCCCCCCTATGCCGCGAGAGCAGCGTGAAATTGATAAACAGATTTCGGATTTCAAAACATACTTTCGCTTTGTAGTAAATATATATCGGAAATTCTATTTGCCATAATCGAAAGTTCAAGCTTACTTTTATAAAATTGCTCTAACAGCAAAAAATAATAAGCCGGATCCATTTCGAAGATTAAGGAACAACACAATCTGCAACATTAACTGAATTAGATAACTTTAGCTTAGCGTATAACTCCGTTACACATTAAACGCGCATGCGCACAAACATATTCGCAGCCGTAAGGGTCTTACGCGCTCTCGTAAACGCCTGTGCGCATGCGTGAACGCGACGCATGCGCAGAAAGTTTGTAGCTTTGAGGTCCGGATTATAGATCATTCCGGATTATGGGTGTCCGAATTAACGACTTTTGACTGTATTAAGCTTTTTCTTTTTGTAAATTTTGATACCGTTTAGATCATAATTGTTCTTTATTTCATAAATTACGGTTTCATAATTTTAATTTTGTAATTTCTGCATGCCATCTTACCAGATTTAAACTGATGATCTATAATCTGGAAAAATCGATAATCCGGAATCGCCGAAGTCCCGACGAGTCCGGATTAACGACTTTTGACTGTATAAGGCATTTTCTCCTTCCTTTCTGCATGCCTTTGTCATGTAACAATAGTATACTTGAAGCATATTCAAGAAGTCTAGGTTTGAGTCACGGTGAGGGCATTGCTCGTTTTTCATGTCTTCTGCTTCAAAATAATGACTCTACATATATTATCAAATAAAGTTATGATGTTTTTTGTTAACGAAGCATCAATTGCCAAATGTGCATTAAAGTGGTAGTCTGTGTATATTATGTCATGAACAGCTGTGCAGTGATTATTTATATATGTAATACAGTTATTCTCTTCATGAAACTTTATGTATCATTAGTGCTGCTGCCATTCAATTAAATTTCATGCCAACATTTATGTTTAGCATGAAGTTGTGCTCCTTTAATAAAAAATAATACATAAGGTAATGGGTGGATAACGTTAATGCCAATAATGTTACTACTATTAACTTTAGTTGTTGATATCATCCTCTGTTTTTTTGCTACTCTGAAACTTAAATCATTCACATTGATGGTCATGTCTGCCGAGCAGTGCTCTAACTGCCATTGCCACAGGCAATAAAGGAATGAACCCAAACCGAATTCTCAGGAGTTTCAATTCAAACAAAAAAAAAAAAAAAAAAAAAAAAAAAAAAAAAAAAAAAAAATTACAGAATTGTCATTTCTCTCAATAAAAGTTCATGGCAACTTTTCAATCACAGCATAATTCATGTAAAAAAATTACTATTCAGCCCAGAGACTCAACTCATAAAACTTGGAGTCTCTGGGTCAAAAATGGAGAGAGGACAACCATGGCAAAATATGAATTTATATTTTTACTTTATTTACTTTAGTGTGAATTATTTGGCATATATCATTTTATGCAAATTAAGATTGTGGCTTAAAATAAATTTTAAAATTTTTTGCTTAACATATTCCTGCCATGTCTGACATTCCTAGAAGGAACTAAAGTTTTGTTTGTGTTATACAAATTTCTTTTACAATAATACATTTTCATAAATTTTAGTGCAATCTGTGGGTCTAATAGTAAAATGTTATGAAAAATGGGAATAACTCTGATCAGAGTTATTGGCACTAACAATAGATGACCTAGCAAGCCGTTTCTATCATAACAGTGACCTACCCTGTATTTAGGTGGTTATAGTAGTTAAATGATGTCTGCTGGCAAATGTGAAATAGAGCTGCTTTGATTGACAGATGCCAAATAGGATCACTTGATTGCTTTTTCATTTTGTTCAAAAGAATAATGATGACCATTGAGAGATGTGATAATTTTCTTCAGGACTACATTAGTACATTCTTTTACGGTTAAACCACCGTATATTTATATATATTTGTAAAGAATAAATTATACTTTCTGATTATTGGCACCCCCATGACTTTTGTCTATACTAAATTATAGAGTTCAAGTTTATACAAGCAGTTCAATCATTATAGTTTATACAAGCAGTTCTGTATAAACTATAATGATTATGTTTATCAAGCATTATAGTTTATACAAGCAGTTCTGTTATATGGATTCACACCTTTTTATATCCAGTGGATATTTTGTTTTATTAAATCTTACTGTAATTAAGCATTATGAGCAATGTTCAAGTGAATTCCATTGCAATCTTCCTTTTTATTAAAATTAAAAACTTTTGTCTATACTAAATATTTAGTTCGGAAATTTCAAGTCATAAATTTTAGAGAGCATTCACAAATTCATCGACAACTAATATTTCACCAAACTAATATGTTGAAGACAAGCCATTTTCAAAATGGTTCTCTTTCTTACTAAGAGTTCCATATAAAACAATCAGTCAACAAAATAAAATTTAAAAAAAAGAGGTAAGAATTATCAGTAATAATTTGAACTGGTTACCTTATTCTAGATATTCTGTAATTTTTTTGTACTGTTGTTCTGCACAGCTATCTGTTTCTGTTGAAAAAAATAAGAGAATTGCACAAATTTCACATTGTGCAGAATTTAAGCATTGCACACCAGCCAACAATAAATAAAGCAAATAGTTATTTTAACACACTGACTGGCAAGGCCATATATATAATATTCTTTATTTTTCGTGGTTGACATACCTTCTTATGACATAGCTTGTTGCAGTAATTTAGAATATACATACACTCTGGGTATTACACAGATTATAAAATTTAGCTGCATCACATTATGCAATGAACAAAGGAAGAAAAATGCGAACAGAGCTGCACAAACAATATGGAGAGAGGAAGGAAAGTTAATGCGATGTAATTTCTAGTAATGGCAGTATTTATACTGAAGCATATGTAAAGCTAAGCTACTATTGGTTGTTTTGACTATCTTCAAATCAATTTTCAACTTGTGTTCTAATGCTTTGCTTGCAATTTTTCACATCTTATTTTCATTAAATCCAGTCGTTTAAGAAGTATAACTTCAGAGAATACAAATTTTTGCATTTTCTGTTCTTGGGCAAAGTGCCATGTTTCAACAGAATTGCAACACTTTCTTTCTGATCAGCTGTCAAATTTCACAGTGCCATTAAGATTAATTCTAAAAAAACAACTATACTATATGCAAAATGAAACGCTTATTAGAAAAGTGATGCTTGAATTTCAGAAGTGCAAATTCACATATACTTTAACATATGTATGCTACATGCATACCTGCCTTGCCATATAAATAATTTTTTTTTGACATCAATGGGTTGCCACATAATATACTATTTTGGTGAGGTACGCACATAGCGCATGTCTAAGTATATTATTGTATTACATCATGAATGCTTTTTTGCAGCTTTTCGGTGGGGAAGTAGGTAATTGCAAAATATAGAATAAACACTTTTAGTAGATTATTAAATTCAGTTTTAGAAATTTTAAGACGGGAAGAAAATTTGAAACAAGTTTAATTGTATGTATTGGCATATTATTTTCAAGTTTCTAAATTGGCATATTATTTTCTAATTTTTTAGAAGCTTTAAAATTAAGAATGTTTTGATTTTGAATAATTTTGCAAGCAGTTCTGTTATATGGATTCACACCTTTTTATATCCAGTAGATATTTTGTTTTATTAAATCTTACTGTAATTAAGCATTATGAGCAATGTTCAAGTGAATTCCATTGCAATCTTCCTTTTTATTAAAATTAAAAACTTTTGTCTATACTAAATATTTAGTTCGGAAATTTTCTATCTATCACAGTAATCAATATAATGCCTTTCATTAAATCTTTTGGTACTTTCTGATTATCTGCACTCCTGTTCTTGCTGAAAAGCTGCAAAAAAATATTGATGTGGCAACCCATGTATGCATATAGCATCCCCTCCCCCAGATGGCTTTCCACGTTTCTGGACATTTTTGCCAGAGTGATTGTAGATTATGATCTCTTCTATGAGAATTTTAGCTTTTTAGCATGCCAGTGGACTGCATATTGCTGTTTTTGTCATCTTTTGCAAAATCTTGAACTTAGCTTTCTGTATGATCAGAACATAGACTTGCTTAAAGGGATCATACATCTCTTTTGTCCATCTCGTTTTTATTATAATCAAATTATAATTAATAATTATTCTATCTTTTATAGCTTTTTGCTAAACTATATGCATTATTACATGCTGGAAAAAAAAGAATTTGCTTAATTGTAATAATTATAGGATAATAAATTATTATTATAATTATTTAATTAATTATAGTAATTTAATCACTTATAATAATACTGCAATAAATAACTACTATATCTCTTTTTGATTTTTTTCACTAAATTTTTAATGCCTTATTTTTATCAACTGATCTCATTTTAATTTGCAATAAAAACTAAATCTGACATATAAAAGACCACAATATTGGAAAATGTCAGATTAAATCAACCATGATCTGGGCAAATCCTACTAAAATGGTATGGAAACCTGTTGATAGTTTTTATTTACATATTTATTTTACTACAAAAAACTGCTTCTGCCAAAAAATATTCTATTATTTTTAGTAATCTTGAAATATGTGCTGTTCATATAAAATTCAGAAATTATGGGAAAAAATTCACCATTGTTGCTGTTCGGTTTGCATACTTGTTTGAACCTTAGCATTAATTTCTGCAAATATGAACCAAAGGTGTGAAAGACAACTGGCAATAGGATCACCCTATAACATGGTGACTTTCCCTCTCTCAATAGTAAATTCCTTCTTTCCAGCAAAGAGAGGACCATTGTATGACCTATTGCATATAATTAATGCCTCTTCTGAATGATTTTAAGTATTTTGGCAGAATGCCAACCAAGACTGTTTTGTATGGCACAATTAAATTTTTACTTTCCTGGTGTTAAAACTAGAAGCATTGAGAGGGGAAAATATAGCTTAGTTTTTAAATATAAATTTAATAGTTTTTCATTAATATGTATTAGAGAGATCTTGAAATCTTTTATTTTGAATTTTATTAATGTTCTAAATAAATTATGTTTTTTTTTTTTTTTCCCCTCTCAGGTTGTGTCAGTATGTCCCTATAGATGTTGTCTATACTTGGGTGAATGGAACAGATCCAAAATTTTTAAAAGAATTAGCCAGAGCAAAGGAAGATTATGGATTTTTAAATTCATATTTAAAGTAATGTTAAATGTTTTATACATTTTTTATTTATTTTAAAAACCTCTCTTGGCACTTATTGGTTTTACTGATAGCCAATTCTTAATTGCCAAATTTGCTGGTATTTATTACAAGAGATATAGCAAGCTCAAGACCATAACCAAGGTTAAATAATAATAATATTTTTTATATTTTGCTTGTACATAATCATGTTTCTTTAAAAAAAATTCAAAATAGACAATTTTCAGTTTACCATCAAGCGAAAATTAAGCCGCTGCATTCTTCTAAGAAAGGAGTATTTTACACATCACCTGAATTTGTGAAAATCGACATAAAATGAAGTTATGGACCACTGTAGAAACCGTAGGCAAATACAATGTGAAAAACCTGCTAGAAAAAACAAGGCCTTTGCATGGACAATCTGCAATCATACGACATTAATGGATTTGTATGATATCAACAGATCTATAGGACTTGCCAAGCATCAAGTCTTAACTGGCTGATTTCATGTGATGGCAGTATAAAAAGGTCATGATAATATATTTGATGCCATATTAGCTACTACTGTCAGCTTACAGCCATCTGGGAAAAAATTAAAAAAATGCAGCCTTTTTTTTTAGGTAGGGATTTGTATGTTTAGAAATAAATTAAATTCTTTTTTATATTTTTGTTAAAATTCCACCATCTTGAAGTGTTTTTTTTGGGGGGGGGGGGGGAAATGGTATGATTTTTAGATTAGGCAATAATTTTTCCTTTGTCCTTTCGTCACCAGTAAAACCAATGAGTACCCATTTTTTATTACTTTTGTAATGTAAGATTCACATCAAAAACTGCACATGTATCTTATTATATTCTTAAGCACGTGTATCTTATTGTATCCATAGAAGACACTTTAACATATAATTTACTATGATATAATTTTATATATTTATTTTTTTAATCTTTGCCATTTTCTGTACTGTTTAGTGTATTGTATCTTTTATAATCTGCATGTACACCGCACAAAAAGGGGGGAGAACAATTCTATATCTCTTGTTCTACTGGGCTGATTGGTGAAATTCAAACTGCATTTTTCATGTCTCGAAAGCACGACTTATATATTATTATATATATTAGATTTATATATATAGCAGAGGATATATATTAGATTTATATATATAGCATTGTACTAACATAGGTATTTTGACACAAAATCGAACTTTTTCTGAAATAACATGCATTTTTCCCCATATTTCATTTCTATGACTCAAATTTTGCCTAAATATTAAATTTTGTAAAATTTGTCACGAAATTTGCAGAGAAATTTAAAATTTATCTTGGCGCATTTTTTCAGTTTTCGCCAAAAACTCACTTGGCGAACTTTTTAATTTATAGCAACCCATTTTCTTTCCTTTTTTTTTTTTTTTTCATTTTAGACGAGCAGAAAAAAAGTCATTGTTCATACTTTCAAATAATTTTAACAAAGTGCATATTATCCTTTAGTGTTATTATCGCTCAAAAAAAAATGCCAAATTTCAAAATGCTCCAATATGTAAATTCATTATATCTTAGGGGGGGGGAAATAATTTTTTTATTCAGGTGGGCCTAGAAATATAAAAATAAATAAATAAATAAATAAATAAATAAATAAATAAAAATGAAAATTATATTTGGATTAAGCCTAAATTTTGAATTCTGGAAGAAGGAATCAAGTAAGTTTAATAAAGAAAAGATATTAATAAATATGTATCAAATTCAATTAACATTGAGCAACTAAGTGTTAACTGAATTTTTAGAGCTAATTTTTTAAAAACTATTCGTGCGATTTTTACAAAACTTGGTAGTTTGGCATAATTTGAGTCGTATAATCGAAATACAGAAACAAATTGGCATGCCATTTCAGAAAAAGTCCGATTTTGTGTCAAAATACCTATATTAGAACAACGCTATATGTAAATCTAATATATATCCTAAGTTGCACTTTTGAGACATGAAAAATGCAAGTTGAATTTCATCAATTGACCCAGTAGAACGGGATATATAGTTGCTCCTCCCCCTTTTTTTGTGCAGTGTACATTAGTCTTAGTAATTGTTACTACCAGGAAAATGTTTTGCTATATATCTTGTCCAGTGTATGAAACTAAGATTGGTCCATAAACTGGACAAGACATATAGCAAAACATTTCTCTGGCAGTAACATTTCCCTGGCAATAAAACATTTCCCTGCCATTTGCTAGATGTCTTGTCCAGTTTATGGAACTAAGAACTAAGATTAGAATATATGCTAAATAAAAGCTAGTGTGCAATTAAACTTTGTCTCAGTTTTTGCTAAAATATAGTGTTTGAATTTAATTGTGAATTGTGATACAGTCAAAAGTCATTAATTCGGACACCCATAATCCGGAATGATCTATAATCCGGACCTCAAAGCTACAAACTTTCTGCGCATGCGTCGCGTTGACGCATGCGCGTAAGACCTTTACCGCTGCGAATTCGCGTGTGCGCGTGCGCAAAATACGTTTACGAATGCGCGTTTAATGTATAACGGACGGGATAAGCTAAGCTAAAATTATCTAATTATCTAATTTCAGTTAATGTTGCAGATTGCGTTGTTCCTTAATCTTCGAGTTGGATCCGGATTATATTTTTTTGCAGACTGTTAGAGCAATTTTATAAAAGTAAGCTTGAACTTTCGATTATGTCAAATAGAATTTCCGATATATATTTACTAATATGTAAAGGATATACAAAGCGAAAGTATCTTTCGGAGTCCATTAAACAAAAACTGGATAAAGGCATATTCTTTGTTTATCTAAACTTAAACGTTTGTTTTATCTAAACTTTGTTTATCTTTAAACGCCCGGCGGCGTGCAATGAATTGGAAGTTGATTGTCAGCACTATCCTTATCTTAAGGGCAGATGTTTTTATTTTATTTGGCTTATAATTGCTTACTCAATGCAGTATTTCATCTCGATGTACTCCGTCTTTGATATGATTTAAATCAAATGCCTCGTCATTATAATTCGCTTCCGATAGCGAAGAAGAAAGAGAAGTGACATAGGTTATTGAAAACGAAAAAATTTCGATTGACAAATTAGTCAGTATTCTCGACACAGCATTATTATAGGACTTGAACAGCGGAACTTTGTAACTGAACAAGAATTATTTCTCTTTGTTTATAGAATTAAAGAGAATGTATTATCACATAAAAAACGAAGCAACTGATACAACTTACATTGAAAGAAATGTTTAATAAAGTAAACAAATAAATATTAAGCTTCTTTTTGTAAATTTTGATACCCTTTACATCATAATTGTTCTTTATTTTGTAAATTACGGTTTCATATTTTTACTTTTATAATTTCTGCATGCCATTTTACCAGATTTAAACTGATGATCTATAATCCGGAACAATCGATAATCCGGAATCGCCGAAGTCCCGACGAGTCCGGATTAACGACTTTCGACTGTACTATTTGTAATCCTCCAGACCTTTCAGGCAAACTGTTCTGAGATTTGTGTTAACAATGTAAAAAGTTTTGCATAAATTAAAATAGATACTGAAATGTATACATTTTTAGTAATTTATATGTTTTACCAGAAAGAAAGGAAGAAGAAATTTTAAAAAAGTGTTTGGAATATTTTATTTATTGTAATATTTCAAAATAAAATTTTATTTTTTGCTTGTTTATTTTTAGCTTAAGAGAAATTTAACTTCACATAAAAATTACAGCAAGAAATGACATTTAATATTTTTCAATTTAAAATAATTCTTGTCCAAAATGCATTTCACTACATAGAGGCCATAATTATGCTACAGATTTGTCTTAATAAGACTTTGTATTACATTGCAGTTGTTCGTTTTCTCATTGTGTGAAGTCTCATATGGTTCTTGTTCGACCACAATTGCCCAGTTCAGTGACTTTTGGTGATTTAGAAGAATATGACCCATTATTTCAGCACATCTCAAGAATATTTGTTGTAGCAGCTCCTCAAGCACATCAGAATATATCTGTACTGGTATTTCCTGATGTGGATACAGGTACTGATATGAAATAAATATTACTTAATATATAAAACCTTTTTAATTATAATTTGCATATTTTAACAACTATTAAAATACTTCACTGTTTCTATGAAGTTATCTTAAATAGCATTATGTAAATATATAACAGTTAAGCCTTGTTAGTGATTCATTTGAATAGTAGGTATGTTATATTCTTATCAGATATTTTTAGTTTCAGCCAGTTTCTATTTTATTTCCACACAATGTGGACTGATTAGTAATCCATTCCTTCTCACTTCCATCAAAATTACAGGTTGAGGTTTCTTCCTGTATTTCTCGTTGCCTATGGTATTTGTGGGGTATGATTAAAAAAAAAAAAAACAGTAAAAAGATTAAAAACAATCCATTTCTTATGCCCAGAAAAATGTTTATTTCTCATTTTATACAGTCAAAAGTCATTAATTCAGACACCCATAATCCGGAATGATCTATAATCCGGACCTCAAAGCTTCAAACTTACGCGCATGCGTTGTATTGATGCATGCGCGTAAGGCCTTTACGGCTGAGAATATGCTTGTGTGCGTGCGCAAAATATGTTTACAAGTGCGCATTTAATGTATAACAGACGGTAAAAGCTAAGCTAAAATTATTTAATTATCTATTTCAGTTAATGTTGCAGATTGTGTTGTTCCTTAATCTTCAAATTGGATCTGGCTTATTATTTTTTGCAGACTGTTAGAGCAATTTTATAAAAGTAAGCTTGAACTTTCGATTATGTCAAATAGAATTTCTGATATATATTTATTAATATGTAAATGAACAACAAAGTGAAAGTATGTTTTGAAGTTCATTAAACAAAAAGTGGAATTGCTACAAAAAATGGATAAAGGCATATCCTTTGTTTATCTAAACTTTAACGTTTGTTTATATAAACTTTGTTTATCTTTAACGCGTCGGCGCCGCACAATGAATTGGAAGTTGATCTGTCAGCACTATCCTTATCTTCAGGGCAGATGTTTTTATATTTTATTTGGCTTATAATTCCTTATTAAATGTAGTATTTCATCTCGATGTACCCCATCTTTGATATGATTTAAATCAAATTCTTCGTCATTATAATTCACTTCCGATAGTGAAGAAAGTGACAGAGGTTATTGAAAATGAAAAAATTTCAATTGACAAATTAGTCGGTATTCTCGACACAGCAATTATAGGACTTGAACAGCGGAACTTTGTAACTGAACAAGAAATTATGTCTGTTTAAAGAATTAAAGAGAATGTATTATCACATAAAAAACAAAGCAACTTAAACAACTTACATTGAAAGAAATGTTTAATAAAGTAAACAAATAAATATTAAGCTTTTTTTTTTGTAAATTTTGATGCTCTTTAGATCATAATTGTTCTTTATTTCATAAATTACGGTTTCATATTTTTGATTTTATAATTTCTGCATGCCGTCTTACCAGATTTAAACTGATGATCTATAATCCGGAAAAATCGATAATCCGGAATCGCCGAAGTCCCGACGAGTCCGGATTAACGACTTTTGACTGTATACCAGATGGCAGTACTCTTGATTTCAAGCTAACGGAAATTCCAAAAATAAAAAATGAATACATATATTGTACACATTTTTTAAACCATTTACTCTTATACTTACACTTAATTTTAAACATACACTCATATACTTGCGCTTATTTTTGCACAGGTATCAACTACCAACAGTTGTGGATGTAATCATTTACCCAGTATTATATGTTATAGCTGTTAGAGTAATATGTAAAATGTAGTATGTGTAATATAAAAAATGTAATATCTGTGTAGCTTTCCTCTAGGTAACTTTAGGTATGAAACTTTACTAATACTGACTGGGGAATTTAGAAAACTACACCTATACAGGATGCAGTTTTTCTAGTTCAGTCTTGCATAGCACCAAACAGATAATCTTAATAACAGCAATTACTGTTGACTTTTTTTTTTTTTTTAATTTCATCAAATCTTTCATGTTGTTTTGCATCTTTTTCTTTGTGTATCTAAAATAAACATTTTTGTTCTAACAGAAACCTTTGAGTTCTTTATCCTTTAACAGAAGAGCATGGTATTTCAAAGACGTAAGCTATTTAACTAAATATATAAATAATTGTATTGCTCAGAAGTTATTCTGTATATGAGCAATGGCCAGTAATAAAGACTAGTATGATTGCCTTCAACAGAATAAATTTTATTACTAGGTGTTGACATATTAAAGCAGATTTCACTGCCAAGGAACTAGACCAGTTTTTAGGAAAGAGCCTAATGCAATGAAGGTTTCTTGAAATGGTTAAAAGCAAGAAAGCTTATATACTTCTGATGTCTTTATCAAATAATCAAGTTCTAGCATCATTGCACAAGGAGAAGTCAGCAAAGCAAATGTGGGAAAAACTTTATTATATTTACAATTTTAAATGAGCAGTGAATCAAGTACTTACCAGAAAAAGCCTGGATACCATAAAGAAGACTTTTGAGGTCCTGATGACACAGCATCTTGATGAAATGAAGAAATTAGTAGCAGATTTATGACTGTCTGGGGCAGAAGTAAGTGATCTGGATACAACAGTTTACATTTTAATGTTGCTTCCATCAGAGTTTGAAACTATAGAAATTGCAAAATCAACCTAATGTGAATATAACCCTAGAGTTTGTTACTATGTAACTTTGTTATTATGTGACTTTAATATAATATAAGTATGGAAGCTCTTTACAATGTTACCCAAAAGTTAATGATAATTTTCATTTTGAAAGAGAATGTATATTTTGCAAGTTAAAAGAAACTATAGTGTTCTGCACAGTTTCTTTCCTCAGTGGAAACTTATCTCTTTCCATTGTGAAAAGAAAAGGCATACTGCAAAACATTGTTAGAAGATATGTATTTTGAATGTGGGAAACCTGGACATGTGAAATATTACTTTTAAGTCCAAACTAAATAAAAAGGAAGAGACATAAGCTTTACCAGCAATTATATCTACTACAGGAGGTATAATCTCTAAAATCTTTATTAGGGACTTTGGAACTTCTCACATGGGTTCACAAAAAAGAATGGTTTTCTTCATTTCTCCTTAAGTCAAGAAGTGTGAAATGTGCATTGCATTCATCTACTTTAAATGATGTGAGGCTAAATTCTTGGCAAAACATTCACTGGTGTTCAGATAATTCTAAAAAGTGTGCTTTTCATGCAAGATCCAAATAGTGTTAATATTAGTGCAAAATATTGAAGCCATTGGTTTTAGTATCATTCGTAAAAGTCAAAATTTGCTTATTGTCAACATAAGCAACAACATGTATTTATGACTACGATAAATATTTTTAGTCTAACAGGAACCTTTGAGTTACATATCTCTTAACAATAACTAAAATGAAATAGGTTTATTTGTCTATCTTCTGTCATAAAAGGATTATCTTTCTGTTCTAAAAAATGCTATGAGTCAAAAATAAAAAAGACTAACTAACTATGCTTTTAAATGTAAATATAACTGATACAGTTAAACTGGAAACTTCTTTCTTTCTATTAGGAAGTATTTGGTATGTATGGTTTAATAATGTTAACGTGAAATGCCTCTTGTTACAGAGTAATTCTAAAATGTGGGATATCTTCTGCACTTCAACTGAAAGTCAAGAATTGGATTGAAAATTTCAAAATGAGATGTCACTGTTTTTCTCGGTAAATGTATTGCTCATCTAGAAATTGAAAGACTGAAAACATCTTCATCTCCAAATGTTATGTTAGTTTTACAGTTTCCATACCAGGGATTTCCAACCATTTTTGTGCATTGACCTCTTTTAAAAGAATGGTTCTCTTCATTGAGCTTCTTACATTTTTCTCTATAATATACAATATAATCATAATACAAATAATTGTGCATATATGGTTCAAGATAACAATTAGACTAAGGATATGGTTTGGAAAAAAAATGGGTTATTTGATTTATTTTTTATTATTTTTGTATTTTTTTTTTTTTTTTAATTTTATAAATATGAAAAAGTTCAAAACCAAAATCAGAGATTCTAATTGCACAAAAGTTCGATTTTAATATGTCTGTGCCTGATGAAGTGATGCAATTTTTTTTTAACATTTGGCATAAAATTGCTTTCTTAAATCACCTTGTTAAAAAATATTCAATCTGTTTCTTGTTTTCTTTAGTAAATTATTGAGCAATCCTCCACTAAGTAAGATGAAAGAAAAGACAATAATGTTTGTTCAGTAACAACTTTTATTCTGAGATATTTCTCTTGAATGTCTTTTGAATTCCAAAATTTAACATATTTAAGTATTTAGAATAAGATTTGAACATCCTCCTTCAAATGCAATCAACACTTCTTCATAATATCAAGATCAGGTGTTCAGCAATTCTATGAGCCATGCTGTTAAATTCAGCCATGCATTCAAATTTCCATTTTACAACAAAATATCTATCAACTTAATCAATCAGTCATTGTTTTGAAAAGTTACTGAACAAAATTTGGCTGCAAGATGTTCCAGTAAAAGTACTACTCATATGTAGAAAAATTATACGTGTTTCAGTAAACAGTATTTTTCATAAGCAGAAAATATTATGCATATGGGTTTTAAAACTGAAAGTATTGATTTTTTCATAAATCTAACCACGCAAAGAAATTTTTATATTTTTTTTTTATTTGAGAATAAATGGTTTTAGTTTGCTGTAATAAAAGATGAAGGATATACAATAACTGTAATAAATAAATCTATGTTTTTAACAGCATTGTTTTTCATCATTGTATAAGATACTGCATATCTTTTCAAAAAAGTCAGTTTTGTTTATTTCATATTTTCAATAAAATGGCAACTATTTTTTAACTGCTGTTTTGCTTGTTTCTATTACAGTCAAAAGTCGTTAATCCGGACTCGTTGGGACTTCGGCGATTCCGGATTATTGATTTTTCCGGATTATAGATCCTCAGTTTAAATCTGGTAAGATGGCATGCAGAAATTATACAATTAAAAATATGAAACCGTAATTTATGAAATAAAGAACAATTATGATCTAAAGGGTATCAAAATTTACAAAAAAAAAAAAAGCTTAATATTTATTTGTTTACTTTATTAAACATTTCTTTCAATTAAGTTGCTTCGTTTCATGTGATAATACTTTCTCTTTAATTCTATTAAACAGACATAATTCCTTGTTTAGTTACAAAGTTCCGCTGTTCAAGTCCTATAATTGCTGTGTCGAGAATGCCCACTAATTTGTCAAAAGAAATTTTTCGTTTTCAATAACCTCTGTGTCACTTTCTTCACTATCGGCAGCGAATTATAATGACGAGAAACTTGATTTAAATCATATCAAAGACGAGTACATCGAAACGAAATACTACATTTAGTAAGGAATTATAAGCCAAATAAAATAAAAACATCTGCCCTGAAGATAAGGATAGTGCTGACAGATCAACTTCCAATTCTTTGCGCGCTGCGTCGTTTCCCTCCCCTCCCCCGCAGAGCAGCGTGAAATTGATAAACATTTTTCAGAATGTTTAGATAATCAAAGGATATGCCTTTATCCATTTTTGCAGCAATTCCACTTTCTGTTTAATGGACTTCAAAACATACTTTCGCTTTGTAGATCCTTTACATATTAGTAAATATATATCGGAAATTCTATTTGACGTAATCGAAAGTTCAAGCTTACTTTTATAAAATTGCTCTAACAGTCTGCAAAACAACAAATTCGAAGATTAACGAACAACGCAATCTGCAACATTAACTGAATTAGATAATTTTAGCTTAGCTTATACCATCCGTTATACATTAAACATGCATGTGTAAACGTATTATGTGCATGCGCACATGCATATTCGCAGCCGTAAAGGTCTTACGTGCATGCGTAAACGTCAACACGACGTATGCGCAGAAAGTTTGTAGCTTTGAGGTCCGGATTATGGGTGTCCGAATTAACGACTTTTGACTGTATAAGTTGCAGAATTTTACATTTTTGATGGAAGTTTGTATTTTACATTTTCTTCTTAATTTATATAATTCATACAAACATGCGAATGATTTGCTATATTGACTTGTAATGACTATTGTAAGTTTTACTCATTGTAGCTGAAAAGGTTTTGCTTAAACAAGTAATCATGATGGATGGTCAGAATTATACAGTGAGTACAGCTTATGTTACTGACAGCTGGAGTTCCCAAAATATCGTTCTCTTAAATACAATGGTTTTTCTTACACAAGTTCCATCTAGTGTTTCAGATATAGATATCTTGGAGAAACTACCAGAAAATATAAAATCATCAGTATCCAAGGTAATATGTATTTCAGTTTCTCGACATTGTGATCATTTTGCATATGATTAAGATTTCATATTTCGTGTAATTTCATTGCACTCATGAAAAATTTTTCAAGGCATGTTTAAATATATTTGCTCAGTTGCTCATAATGCATATATTTGTGTCTGTCTGTGCTGATGAGGGAAAACATCGACCTTCCACACTCTGTGGCTTTTTACGTTTCCAATAAAAAAAAAAAAAAAAAAAAAAAAAAAAAACATGTTGTAAATTCTGTTCCTACATGTCATTCTTAATCTCATTTCCTCTATATAATAAATGCATGCAGAAATGCTGATTTGTTGGAATATAAACTTAGATTTTAGGATGATAATTTTGTTTCCAAAAAAGCAGCTAAAATATTGTTTAGCAGAGATTTTTCTTTCGTGTGCTTTAATGTTTTATTCTAAATAATGCTAAAAATGGTTTAACATTTTAAATAAAAAGGATTATAACACAATGTGCTTGGCCCATTAGCCTAAAGAGAAGGGTATCTGTATGGATAAAATCAAAGAAGTAGCTTCCAAATTAATTACAAGTGTAGTTTTATTCAAAAATTGCAAACAAATCTGGTTATTCAATTAGAATAGGGAATAAAGTATCAGTTTTCAGAATTGGTTAATCAAATTTAAAACATTTATTTTACAAACCATCTTTTGAATTTAATATTCGAATTACAGAAGCTACTGCATTTATCCTTATAATTATGTTAAAGTATATTACACAGATGGGACTCTTGTGTTATCGGATATGGAAATGTATGTATGTATGTATTCATGTATGCATGTATATATGTATGTATATATATATGTAGTGTAAATATACGCATATATGTGCATACATACATACGTGCATATATGCATACATTTCTGAATCTGGTCCCGATAACAGAAGTGTACCCATGGATATTTTCAGTAGCTTCATAATGTTATTACAGGTATCCTTATAACATTTAAAAAAGTAAAAACTTTCCTGCACTAGTGTGTAAGATTCTAATAAAATGATTAAGAAGTTTGATCCCCAGTTTCATAATTTTTTTAGAATCATCATTATTATTATTAAATGAATAACTTATCTTCACTTATCATGAGTTTGTTCAGTCAATGCAGTCAATTCAGTAAAATAAATATTTTTACTAACTTCTTTGTCTTGATGATGAGGAAATAATAGTTTTAATATTAAAAATAAATTTTTCTTTCTTTGTTTATAGTTAAATAATACACTGATTAATATTTTTTCAACTATACCATCGGGTATGTGAGATAGCTTTCATTTTTTACCAAAAATAAAAATACTCTATTTTTGGTAAAAAATGAAAGTGGTAAAAATTTAATGATTTAGGTGCTTTTTAATGAATTAAAGTGGTTTCAAGCATTTTTGATAAAAAAATTCAAAAATTAAAGGGGCAGTAAACAAGCAAAAGTTTGCTTTTAATTTTGAATAAGCATTTAAAGCCTTTTAAAACAGTTAATATCCAAATGTGTAAAATATAGAACAAGATTAAATGCCAGTAACCTAATTTATTATTTGTTTTAACTTTTTTCCTTACTATGAATTCATTATAGTTTTCAATAGTAATTACAACTTTCTGAGAATTGCTCCTTTTTAGTTCCACTTTTGAAATACTACATTTAAATGTTATTATTTCTATTTATACAATGATTAACTTTACTTGAAATCTTCAGATCACAAGGACAAATTTCAGATTTAAAAATAATAATAATAATAAGGAATGCAAAATACAGTGAAGTTTACCAAAGACTTGCCATCCATAGTTTCCAAATCATTTTGGTGTTATGTGGAGGTTGGTCATTTTAGAAAACATGACTGTTTATGATGTCCAGAAATACTACCACACTTTCACATGCAATCATCTTAGCGTCTCATATGGTCATCATGAGAGGTTTATTGTATTTCATAAAATAACATACTTTATGCAAAGTGAAAACAAATATCATGCTTCTCAAGCAGTTATGTATTTTTTTAATTAAACTTAATCAGCTAGATCTGTTTGTTAATGATTTGTTTATCACAGAATGTATGTAAATTCTTTTCTTTTCTTTCTTTCTTTTTTCTTTTTCTTTTCTTTTCTCTCTCTTTTTTTTTTTTTTTGTTTGTGTGTGTGTGTGTGTGCTTAAACTTCCATTTTTGCTGCAGGTGGACATTCATGGAGAAAAGAGCTTAGCTGTTCTCATTTTAAATGATCCTGACATGATAAATTCTATTATAAAGTTGAACAACATCACATTTGAAAATAAAGTGGCATCCATTGCACCTGCACACCTAGTTATTGAACTGCCATCTGTGAGTACTTAATTTCAGTGGTAATAATCTTCAGAATGAAATAAATCAATGATTTTAATTAAAATTTTAAAATGCTCTGATTATTTGTATTTATTATCATATTTCTAGATTTCAAATGAAGCTTGTTCTAACAAACTTTTCTCTTCTTATCTTCATTACTTTGCTCTTCTTATCTGAAAATAATCTACTTAAAATAAAATTTTCATGGCAACTATCATATTGTTTTCTTTCAATCATTCTTCACCTACTTTGTTTTTCTTTTTAGGATCATGAAGATATCTCTGCTAGTCGTTTTACAGATAATGAAGTAATGAAATGATTACTTATGTTTTGTATATGCAATTCGTTAAATGTGAATATTCTCTACAATTACTTATGATATGAATACATTTTAGGAACTAAGATACTCATTGCGCTCTTTAGAAAAACATGCTCCTTGGGTACAGCATGTTTACATAATAACCAATGGACAAATACCATATTGGCTAAATCTTGATAATCCTTGGGTTACAATAGTTACACATGAGGTAAGATTATCATATAAATACTTTTCTTTTGAATCATAAAATAAGAAGAATTTACTTTAAATCTTCACTCCTAACATATATTGTTGCTCAAGACTTTTTTATGATAATATCTATTCCTTATTCCATTTCAAATTATATTACGTCATCAGTGCTTATGATAATATTAGAAATACAGTCAAATACCAAAAATCTGCCGACCTGAAATCCGCTTTGTCTCTCAAAATATAAACATTCAGTGTATAGGTTCCGGAAACCACAACATCGAGTACGAAATATTGAAGAAAAAGTACTTACCGAATAATGACGTCATAATTACCAAATAATAATGAGTCATAATGGAAGTACCAAATTATTGACATCATGATAAAAGTTTTTTTTCCCTCTTATCTGCATCGAGGTAAAAAAGCAGATGATTCACTCAAATCTTCTTTCAAGTTCACAATTCACATTGTTGTATTTTCTGAGCTTTGTTATTTCACTAGATTATTTAGTGCTGCCTTTTTTTTTTATCCGGATATTTTTGTGGATAAATTAAGACTATTTTAAATTTCAGCCCTTTTTAATACAATGACAGATAAGACATGCACTCATGATTTTACTGTTTGCAACATTGAAAAACTTAAACACGTTGCATTGACGGTAATGCAAAAAGTGTAAATTCTACAAAAGATGGAGGCAATATCCACTCCTCGGTTTATAGGCCGAGGAGTATGATATACGGAATGATGTGTATGATATATGGAAAAATAAATAAAAGCTGTTGAAATTTTGCAGCAACAGTGATTCTACACCGGAATCCGAAACTGGAATTCTTTGCATGAGGCGAAATCAGCAAACCTGGATGCTGTGATGACAAAGTACAATGAATAATATAATCAATTTATATATGTAATAATAATTTAATGCATATAATAAATTATTGCAATAATGTATATAATAAGTTAATTAAATGTATCTAATACGCCTTATATATTTCGCACTTTGAGTCCTTGGGTTATGAATATTATGATTTATCTTTTCTATCCTGAAATCTGCACAACCTCTGGTCCCAAGCTTTGTGGATTTCTGGACTTTTACTGTACTACAAAGAGCAAAATGCAAAAACAATTGTTTTCCTCCATGATACATCTAAATTATCGAAACTAGGCTTTCCTTTCTCAAAATCTATTATTCATTTAATGTTCTTACATACAAGGGTTGGACAAAAATATCGAAATGCCAAATAGAAACCTTTTGCTGTGACTAAAATGGTGTAGGAAAACTGTCGACATTCAGAACAGCTTGCAGTCTTTTCAGAATTAATAGAGGTCTTGTATGCTTTGCAAGAAAATTTTGTAGTATTCTTCCTGTAAAACATTGGCAAGTTCAGTTAGCAATGATGACAGTAGATAGCACTCATGCAGATTTCTCTCCCATATAACCCATAAAGGCTCAATAATATTGAAATCCGATGACTGTTGTGGCGATGGCAGATGTGAAAGTTCATCCTCATGCTCAGAAAATGAGTCTGAGACAATGTAAGCTGAGTGAACAGGAGCTGTCATCTTGGAATATGGCTTAATCATAGATGAACAAAATTTATATCATGGAATGCATGTGATCAGCCAAAATGGTCACATTATTCTTGGCAGTAATGTGAGCTTGCACAGTAATGATGGGTCCCATGGAATACCATGATATTGGCTGCCCAAACCATGATCAAACCTCCAGCATGTTTCCCTCTTGACAGCAAACAATATCTATCATATGCTTGGGATGAAAGCATGCCCAGAAATTATAAACAGTCTGATGTAAGACTCTTCTTACCAAATGACAGTCTTCCATTGCTCTATAGTCTATGTTATATGACTTTGGCACCACTTTCTCCTCTTGCAGGCATTTTGATCACTGATGAGCTTTTGAATTGCAGCTTGCCTAAAAATACCCTGCTTGTGTAAATGTGTGTACCCCAAAAATACTCTTCATATTGTTTTGGTGTTGACAGGGTTTGTGAGTGCGACATACAGTTCAGCAGTCAGTTTTTCGACTGTAGTCCTCTTATTTTTCATCCCAATCCTCTTCAATGACCATCTGTCATAATCACTTAACACACATTTTCGTCCACACTATAATTTAGTGGATAAAGTTTTCCAATTTTCCTATATGAGTTAAAAAATCTCAAATGTTATGTATCTTGAAACACCAAACACTTCAGCTACCTCGGTCATGAAAGCACACATCACACGTGCTCCAACAGTTTGCCCATGTTCAAATTCATTTAGCTCTGATATGATGCACTCATAACTGCACAAAACAGTGTCTAGATAATGAATGACACTTACAAGTGTTGAGGCTGTTGTACAGATGGCATTAGTGATGTCACACCTCATGCTCGTTCAGACATGAGGCGGGTTCTTTTCATGCATTCACCATAACAGGAAAATGATCTTCATCATCTTTGAAACTTTATCCACTAATTTATTACACATAAAGGTACACAATATTCCACAAAACGAAATCACTTATCCATAATAAAAAAAAAAATACTATATACAATATAAAGCACGCAAAAACATGTTTCAGTTATCTCCTTTCAAACGGCATGCTTGCCAGTCCATCCCAAATGTTTTCAAGTCTCCTCGTCACCCCACCAGTCTGACCCGATCAGTTTTTCCAGTTAGCTACGTCACTTCCTTTTATTGTCTTTCAGCCTCGAGGAGAAAAAGTTTCGGAAAAGTTGTCCGCTAGGGGAAGGAACTTCACAAGTGAGCAAACACATCAGCGCAACTAATAACTTCAAGAATAACTGCAAGAATAAACATTTCAGTTAAAACATGCATTTTACAAGGTGTTTCCATATTTTTGTCCATCCTTTGTATCTTTCTGTATTTGCAGATTCTAATAAAGTCATCAAGATATTTATTTGTAGCCGCAGTATTGTATAGAGTTTTCAAAGTTCATTAAGTAATATTTTTAAGGGAATTATTTTTTTAACTTATTGAATCAGTATTATTAGAAATCGGAGATTATGAGAGACATTTTTGTATGCTGTTTATTATGTTTCTTTGAATTGGGTTACTGAATCACCTCAAGTGCATAAGAATGGATGTTGATTGATGATTAATTTTAATTTAACAGTATTTAAATTGTATGTTTTTGTGAAACAAAGGAAATTGAAAATCATCAAATTTTCCTATTTTTTTAATAAGTATTTTTTAAATTTATTTATGATGATTTCTAAAAGTACAGTTTTTGTATGAAACATCATTTAAAATTTCAATATTAAGAACTATACTATAATTTCATTTGAAAATTTTCATTATAAATAATTTTTAAGGCTGATACTATGTTGAATTAGATAAAGATTTATGGTGCCAAAGTAAATAGCACAATTTATTGAAGTAATAACTTGATAATATGTAAAAATACTATTAAATAGAAATTGCTTTATTCTGTAATTTTATTTTAAAAATTTATGTTTTGTTTAAAAAGTAGCATCAGGCAGTAAATATCTGTGATTTCTGTTAGAATTTCATAGCTCTATTACTATTTAAAATAATATGGAAATATTACTGTTATATATGCTATTTTTACTCATTGTATTGAATTTATTCTTGTGTCTATAGATATTAATGCTTTATACAATCAGTTTTGAACATGCAATATTCAATTTTTTAATTTAGGAAATTTTTCCTAACAAAAGCCATCTGCCAACTTTTAGTTCTCCAGCCATTGAATGCCATTTGCACAGAATTCCAAATTTGTCAAAAAAATTTCTGTACTTAAATGATGATGTGATGTTTGGAAAAGATGTTTGGCCAGAAGATTTTTATACTCATACTAAAGGACAAAAGGTAAATTTCTTGAAATTTTCAGTATCATTTATCCTACAGTTTGTAATTATTTCTTGTTCTGGAAATTCCACAGTCTAAATATTAGTTTTTATCGGGTATAAAAGCAAAATTAAATAGCAGTTTGCAGTTGTCTTTATGTCTTGCTATTAAACATGCTATTGAGCAAATTTTGTTTTGATAAATAAAATAACTCCAAAGTCTAGTTAGTACCTGTTATTTTTTGTAATTGCTTATCTGAAGATGTGGACTATGGCAGGACATGTCAATATTCTGAGCTCTTGAGAATAGATTCATCAAAACATACCTCTTTCATTTCATATTGAAAATGCCTTGTAATGTAAGTATGCTTCTTTCATTTCATATTGAAGAGTACTAAGTGTTTCATATAACTGCATTGACTGTGGTCATGCATGCCATGAAATGTATGAAATTTGTGTGAAATGTATATAAGAATTTTGGCAAAATGACATAAAGTGAAAGTGTGCTAAAAAGGCATGATATAATAAATACGAGAAACGGTTCCAACAGAATTTTTTCCTGAAATATTGTAGCATTTGGATATAAAATTTGTGGATAAGTAAAGTATGTGTGTAATATTTTTAATGTAGATGCTGTATGTCATGGTGTAGCTAATGCATAAAAGACATACTTAAAAGTGATAGCTGATCCAGTGTGTTTTTATTCTATACAAAAGATTTTTGACAAGAGTTAAATTGATGTGTGACATGCGCCCTGCTATTTTTTCTTAGTGATAACTTTTTTACTTTTAACATTTTTTATAATATATTTAAAGAAAGAAAGTGAAGAAGAAGGAAATGTGCTAGTAGAACTAAGATGCTATGAAGAAAAATGTGTGTTAATATATGAAAAATAGGAAAATTAAGTTAAGAATAATGCAGTTATGGTTTTACTTTATTCCTGTTGCACAGTTAAAGTTTTAGTTTGCAAATTTAAATATTGTTGGCTAAAAGATTTTTTGTGTTATGTAAGTAAATTTATTATTATATAGGAGTCATATGACAAGGATTACTTTTAAAATGATGCACTTCAGAAAGATTTATTATAAGCATGTTATTTTCAGGACAGAAAGGGGGGGAAAAAAACCAGATTAAACAGGAGATTCCAGTGATTATTGCAAACGAAAGTTAGGATTTTATTTTAGATAAGCTTTATCTTATATGCATGCATATCTCTATATGTATCAAAAGTGTGTATCTTGTGTGTGTATATATATGTTACGGTGAAACACCGAAATCTGGAGAATGTCGACTTTCACCGGTGAATGTCAACATTCACATAGTCTCTTGGTGTATGTCCGAAATATTTTCCAAATACTCTTATTTCTGACTTGTACTAATGGTGAATGTTGAACATATAACAATATTATATTTTCTTCTCCATAATTCAGTCACGAATAAACGCACTTGAGACTTGAAATAAGAACATGAGAACCTAAAACACACAATACATTCAAAATGAGAAAGGAAAATAATAGAAGTTAAAAACTTACTTAATTATACAGTACGTTCTAAATGAGAAAATAAAATAACAGTAATAAAAAACTTACTAAATTATGTGATTCAAATCTTATTTATTGCAACAACGTAAACTATTATGGCACTTTATGACCTCTCTTTTCGACTTTCACCACAGCATATCTGTGATTGTTGACATACACCGGTGAGGGTCCGAATATACAAGAATATAGTGAAATATTTGGTCTTTCACCGACGTATTTGGTGAATATTGATATTCTCCGGTGAAAGTCGACATTCTCCAATTTCGGTCTTTCACAGTAACATATATACACATAAAAGACATAAAGTAAGAAATTTAGAACTAATGCTTCACAAAGACAAAAATTTTGAAATTCATAATTAATAAATTTCAAATAATCTAATAAATGCAACAAAGAATTTAATAAATGTAAATACCAAAACTTTTAAACAATCAATACCCTAATTCAAAAAAATTCCTTAAAGAAATTAAAAGAGAAAAGGACATAGCAGAAGAGTAACTCAATCAACTTCAATGCCTCTTCATCAGGGAAAAGGAACATTGAAATCAATTTAAATCTATCTTCTACAAAAATACATACACATGCACACACACAATCACATATATATATATATGTGTGTGTGTGTGTATGTATTTTTGTAGAAGAGAGATTTAAATTAATTTATATGATTAATTATAAAAAATAAATATAAATTAAATGAGATTTAAATTGATTTATAAATTAATTACATGATATATGTATATATGTGTGTGTGTGTGTATGTAGACACTTAAAAGAGGCAAAAATTAAAAACAAATTTTATAATCAAGAGGTAATAATTAAATCAAAATTAGTTCATAAAAGGAGCAGCTCTCTAACAGGAAATACATTTATTAAAATTAAACTAATTTTGGTTTAATTATTATCTCTTGATATATTAATTAATTTCTCTGCACACTTTTTATAATATATAACACTTTAATTTGAAATTTTCTCATCTTTTGTTTATATATATGTTACACACACATACCTCAGTTTTAATTAATTCTGCATGTAATGATATAAAAAATATTTTAATGTATGTTTTCATTCTATTTTTGTATTAATATTCTAAAACCAGTTTATTTTTTGTTTTATTCAGTTGTTCATGGCCAATGTTCTCAATCAGGAACACTGCAAAAATTGCATGTGAATATTTTTCTTTTTATGCATTTGATTTATTTTTTTAAAGGAACTGATTAAAGGGTAAAAGTGTAAAAATAATAATAGTAATAATAATTTAGGTAGGAATTCAGTTTTTGAAAATTTGAAAGCAACTTTTTGTGTGAGTGCTGTCAAAACTTAAAGAAGAAATTTCATCTCTTCATCCATGGTCATGGTAAAGGTACCAATCATGTATCCAATTTTACCTCTGAATTTCTTGGAAAAAAAATGGCAAAAAAGATATGGATTAAGATTTTTTCCCCCTTATTCCCTCAGATTCCTTTGATATTTCGTGAATGGACTTTTGTATCTTTGGAAAGAGCAAATTTTTAACAAAGCTAAAACATTTATTTAAGTGTGAAGAAAGTGGAAGAAGGTGAACAAAATACCAATGTTAACTGTAAGAGATGCCGTATTATTTTGAGAGTGGCCAGGCATTTAAAGATTGCTGAATACTGGTAGTTTTTCCTGTGCTCAAACCCAGCAAACAGGCTGACGGGATATTTAATTTTCATAGTTTAATCTGTGTGTAACATGAATATGAGCAAGTTTTCATTAGAAATTCCATCATTGGTGGCATCCTTTCCCTTGGCCTTATAGTTTTTATTCCTTTTTGCCATATTTAAATAGCCTAACTTTCTTATTTTGGAAATTAACTTGTAAATTGATACTCCAGAGAAAATGCCATGAGACTGAACGCTGTAAGACTGTGCTATTTTTAACTGTGAGATTATTTTATGTCTTCATAACAAAATGAATTTCTTTTTAAGGTTTATCTTTCCTGGCCTGTGCCCAATTGTGCTGAAGGCTGTCCTTCATCATGGATTAGAGATGGGTATTGTGACAAGCCTTGCAACAATTCTCAATGCCAGTGGGATGGTGGAGACTGTACTGCTGACAATCCAATGTTATCATATCAACCCATAGGTGTACAACAAGAAGGAGCAGTTACTGGTTTCTTCCAAATTCGAGCAAACAAAAGTATGAAATTTTTGTTTGAATATCTCTATATCTGTGTTCAAATTTCTTTATTTATTGTATTTAGTATTTCCTGTGATTTTTATGGCTATGCAGTGCAGAAATATACCAAAAAAAAAAAAAAAAAAAAAAAAAAAAAAAAAAAAAAAAATTCAAATGGAATCAATATGTGCAATACATTATGTAGCATTTTAGGATAGCTAATCTTTAATCAGCTGAGCATATACAGTGTAATAACACATGTGTAATTTCACAGAATTCAGGATATAGCCATATACAGACTTTGATTATATCTTTCATTTGTCAGCAAGTTAAGAAAATAAAAGTGCAATTGAATATACTCATGTTTGTGAAAATTACAACACCATCAAAAGAATCATCAAATCTAATGATAATACAAATAAATAATAATGGTTTCAGTTTAATATATCTACACTATTCACATAAAACAAGTATTTTGTGAAAATGTCATGAGTGGCAATAAGAGCCTCTATTTGTCATAGTATAAAATCAAGAGTATGTATTCCTAGAGTATTGTCTCCCAGATTTCCCAGTCCATTAGTACCAGAGGAGAATGATGAGCATCAACTAGTGATCAATCACATACATCTTCATTCGGCAATATGTCTGACGAATGTATTAGAGATAAAGCTACATCCGCTGTGTTCCAAAAGACTGGAAATTTCCAGGCAACGTGTTGTTAGGCCATTGTCTTATTACAGTATAAAGCCAGGATTGTGTTGAAAGAGGAGAATGATCTCAGCCTGCACAATTTTCCTATGCTATTAATTCATTCTTATTCTATTCCAATGCTATTAATATTTCCAATTATAGCAGTTGGAATTACCTATAATGCAGTCATAAATAGTATAAGGCACTGCATATGATCACACCTGTCTTTCAACCATTATGGCATTTTAAAATGCGCACTGGACAAAAATGTTCAGCAAAGTATCTTCTAATGAAGTGGTCTCAAACCCAAATTGTATGCAGATCGAATGCTCGATCTGAGAAATCTGAGAGCTCTAATGGACCAGAAGATATCTTTAACAAAATTTTAAAAGCATTTTTAACAAACAGAACAAAATACATAAATGAAATAAAGTTTAAATTTCGCTTAATGAATGTTTATGGAAACAAACATTATTAAAAATAGTAATAACACAAATAAAAAAATTCAAATTTATATTTATTTTCTATCTGAAATATATAGATTTGGTACCTGCAAGAAATTAATTTTAGTTATACTTTGTAATTCAAACAGATGAATAGCTAACTACTAAATTTTAGACTGACAATAATTTCAGGTTATTTCAGTTTGCTGGATTAACTGTTAAATAACTTACTTTTAACCTTAACCAGAAAACCAGAAGTTTCTGAATACTGAAGGTCCACCAACTGCCAGATGGCAAAATAAATTTACTGTTTGTACTAACATGAGAAATTCTTCTACATTATTCCTTGTCACATAATCTGACGTACAATGACAAAGGTACAGCTCCAGCCTATTCATTCCATTTATTTGTGCCTTGAATAGCAGTCATACACATAAGTTCCGTGTATATCTTTATGTATTCAAAACTATAAACATCATAGTTACAACAAATATATAATTAAAATGTATTTGTAGGCCACACAAAACTGCTTCCGAAGCCTTAATACCAATGCTTTAATGTGTCTGTGGCTATCATTGAAATTGAGGCTACAGTCACCAGAAAAGATGACTAGTCACCAATTCGCATGCCACTGTCTATGCTGTACTCATAGTATTTTCTGATTGACATTGATGGTTCATTGTCATTAGAATCCTTCTCAAAGAATAGTTGACCACAGTTATTTGTGCAGCAGATTCCATCAAATCAGAAAAAATACAATGCTACACCTTTAGCAATACTCCGTTGCTGTAATGACATTGAAAAAGCTGCAATATGATTGGTCATTTCCATGATGATGAGATGATTATTTTCCTGTGATGTTATAAAATTTCAGGTTATTTTCACACTCAAATCATTGTCATGGTTTTGTGTACCATATGAGCAGCAGTATTGAAATACAAAAACCTTCTTTCACACAGACCGATAATTCATTCTGTTTGGAAATAGGAAGTTTACTTATGTGATGACCTTTGATGCAGTATAGTAACACATGTAGGACAGTTTCCAGCTACTAATAATGAGGCTGTTAAGTGTGTTTGAGTTTATAATGTATTGAATGCGTACACAACTGATAACAAATAAAAATTTTATTTTCTCAAAAGAAATATTTTACAGTTCTGGAACTTCACACAAAAGTACTCATACAGCTCTTCAAGTCTGACAAAGCACAATCAGTAGTTACCAGCTCAAACTACTAAGAACATTTAACACAATGCAATTCAAAACACATCTAAAGAGAATAACATGAAAATCTCTCTATACGGTAACCTCAACTATGAACTAAAAACTGAGAACTGATGTTCTCTCTGATCTTATATAGTTCTTCCCCCGACCACAGAGAAATTTCTAGTACCTCCAATTTAACGAAATTGCTGGAAGGCATTTCCAGTTACAATTATATAGAGTTGGATATTGTTACAGTTACATAGTGATAGTATCAGTTATAGTTACACAGGAGTCCAACCAAAATGTCGCTCAATGGTTGCCTGTGTTTGGTGACACAAATTAGTTGCCAAAACCATTGCCAGCTTGACGCTATCTCGTTTGGCCTCAATATTACTTTATTTACCTTAGTGTTAAAGATACTTGCTCCTGTAACCTTATTTTTCCAGCGCAGCTTCCTTCTCTTGAGGCGTTTCATGTTACATTATATGGGGTGTCCATAATTTATTCACTGGAAAAAGATATGCTTTAAATAATGCAGAATAAGAGATAGGGAAAAAAGACTAACTGAATTTTATTTAGCACTTCAAAGATTTTTATATTAATACTGTTCAACATGAGCATCACACAGGAGCTGTTTCTGTGGTGATTCAATTTTTACTTCCTTCTACGAAGTAAAAAGGAAGTATTGTAATTGTAAAAAACTTCAGGCATCATATTTCAATGAAAATATCTATTTTGACTGCTATCGAATGTAATTTATCAATATTTTTGTGTGGCATCCATATGTAAGGATAGAATAAAAGACTCATTTAATCCAAAAAATTATAAAACTACTTTAAAATTAATTCTGAAGAGAATTTTCCGTAGCGTCTGTACGAACGTACGTACATATCTCGCATAACTCAAAAACGTGTAGCCTCACAATGTTGAAATTTTGTATATAGGATTCCTATACATTTAGATGTGCATTTCATATTTTGGTTGCAATCGGCTGCACCAAAAATATATACATATATATCCACTCTGTTACTCAGCTCAGTAATCTCAGTTTCTTATATGTTTATTCTTACATTTTGTATATTCTTATATGTTTGTAAATTGTTCACTTCATTTTTTGCTTTAAAAATGATTGAATTATGTTGTTATTATCTTCCAATTAAGGTTTTTATGCCTTTAGTAAATCTGCATGCGATATTTTTAGAATTATTAGCAATTTAAAAGTTGTCTAAGTGAAACTAAGCCTAATTAGTTTTGCAATGGTGGTAATGTTTGTTTACATTTGAAACAGCAGAATAGTAGATTTGTTGCCAGTCTAGAGAAAGTAAGCTTTGCAAAAACAAAGATAATGCCTTCTTTTATTATTGCTAATTAAATCATGCTTAATCCATTCTGGAATTTATTGGAGAAAATAAGTGTTTAAGATTTACTTCATAATTTTCAGTTCAGACGTCTTGAGTTTTAATGTTTTTTTTGCTTTGTCGCCAAGGAAGAACTGAATTAATTAAATGAGGTATATTTAATCGTCTGTGAAAACCTTATTTTTTTTTTTTGTTGTTGTTGTTGTTCTTTGCTTAATTTTTTAATACATCATTTTAGATTTATTATAGTATTTGAATAGAACATGTGACAACGAACAAATATAAATTTTGTGCATTCTGAGTTAAAAAATTAAGGAAATTTAATGCTCTTTTAAGTGAACCTAGGGCCGGAGTGTCACTATGGTAAACAAATATAGTGAATTTTAAAGAGTGCATTTATCTATTTGTGGTTTAAGCGCTATCGCTGAAATAAATTTAATTCAGTCTAATAAGTTTAAGTGAAATGCAAGAAAAATTGCGTATAATTTAATATTCCGTACAAGGAAGTCATGTGGTGTACACATAAGATTTTTTAATTTTCTGATGCTGCATATCACTGCAGCATAAATTCAGTTCTTCGGATATCTCCAGAAAAGAAGTTGAGTGGTGTGACATCCAGAGAATGGTGGTCCACCAGTGGCAATCAAATGATCTGGAAATGTTTCATCAAGGAATATGTATATGTGTAGCTCAGTGCCATGCAGCCAATCCTGTTGGAAAGAAATGTTTGACTACATAAAAAAAAAAAAAAAAAAAAAAAAAAAACTCAGGGTATCCAAGTAATCATTCGAATAATTGATGACTCCAAGAAAAGAAGGAATAAACCACTTTGTTATGAGTACCAGATGTTAACTTGAGAATACTGCTTTCAATGTCCCTTATAAAATGTGGATTTTTATAACACCCAAATACTGCAGTTACGTCGATTAACCTTTCCTCAAACATGAAATGTTACTTCACCACAGAATGCGATTTTCTGAAGAAATTGATTATCATTACTTATATAGTCAAAAATGTTTCCTTACAAATGAGTGTATCATTAGGTCTGATTTGTCGATAAATCTGCAGTTTATATGCAATCACTTTCAGCCATTTATGAACAATTTTATGAAAGTTGACCTGGGAATGCCTGCCTGCATGCTAGCATGGTGAATGGATTTACTGGGGCTGCACACAAACACATCTTGAATGGTGGAAACATTTTCATCACTGACACTTGGCTAACCTCCACCTCCTATATGCAAAACATGTCCCAGTCTCTTGAAATGATTTTAACCATCTTTTAATTGATTGTTCTGTTGGTAGAGGTTTATTAAATTCATGT